TGCATCGAAAGATTGCTTGAGTCTCGGCTACCAGCACCGGGTCCGTCCAATAGGAAAATCGACGACGAGAACGAGTCGCTTAGCGAGGACAGGGGTAAGCAACAGAATCTTGGAGATAGATCTCGGACGAGAGCCGAGGCAAAATTCTCGATCTGGAGGTTGAGCTCGGACGGGAGCCGAGACATAACCTCATCCACAGGGTTGAGCTCGGACGAGAGCCGAGACATAACCTATGTTTTCACCCGACGATCTTATACGAGAGATAAGGCGTGTTCGGAGTGAGGATCGAGCTTGCACGAGAGGCAAGTCAGGATCAACAAATAAATAAACATATTAGCGCGAGTAACAGGCGGCGCTCTAATTCTGTTGCACCAGAGGTCCGTAGTTCGGTTTCCTGGTAGACCTAACAGATAGCCATACACTTCTGACTCGATATAGCGTCAGGGTATATACATGTGCGGGTGTATATATGTGTGTGTGGATATATGTACATTTATATGTGTGTACATGTATGGATGTGTATACGTATATACACATATGGTTATATATGATCACTACGGCTTATTTTACCTTGTTTCACCCCACACGTATCACGCTTTGCAGGTAGCCTAGTGGACGATTTGGTCTCGAGTTACGAGACTCAGGTAAGGACGAAAATCCTATATTGGCAGAGACGCAAACTGAGAGCCAGTCGACTACCATCTCAGGAGCTACGGCTCAGCCTATGGACCTAAGAGACAACCGAGATCAAGAAGAAAAACAGGAATTATTCGAGCTAGATGACGAGATTTTGCAGATCATTGGAAAAGAGCCTCCGAAATGCAATAAAGAACTTGAAATACATTCAAGTTTATCTAGTCGATGGAATCCTTGGCTACAAGAAGGCTTGAAGAAAGAAATAAGAGACGACTTACTTCTGAAGTACCCAAGAGAAGGCAATTACTCCTTGGAAGCCCCAATATTAAACCAGGAACTTACATCCCTAAATGCAAATATAGTAAGAAAGGATAAGTATTTTACATTTACACAAAATCTGGCCGGTGCAGCTCTTTCAGCCCTTGCGCCTGTTATAATGAGCTTAGTATCACGTAAGTCAGAAGAATCCAAAAAGATTCTGGAAAATGTATGGGATGCAGCTAAATTATTGGCGGAAATTCACCATTCTCAGACAGTGTCCCGCAAAGCTTGTATTTTGCCAAGTGTTTCGAAGCAGATGATAGAACATCTAACTACAAAAAAGACAGATAAATACTTATTTGGAGAAAATTTAGGAGAAAGAATTAAAGAGCTTAAGTTAATTAATAAAGTGGGACAAGAGATTAGGACGCAGCCACATAAATCTCCATCGAATCAGTTAAACTGGAAAGGCCCGCCTGCGGTTCGGAGATCGGCAACGCAGACGGGCTTCAAGCAGCGTCCTCAACGATCGAGGAAGCCGACGTCAACAGGATCCACGAGAAGATCGAGTTATCCGAAATCGAGTCATTATCAGTCACGGGCTTACAGACGCAGGCTTTAGAACCGGGAGACGATAAGGTTCTCAAAATAGCTGGCAGATTATCTCGTTTCAAAAGAAGCTGGGAAAATATCACGTCTGACCCGTTTGTAATACAATGTATAAAAGGTTACAAGATACCTTTTAAAATTTTGCCTGTTCAGAATCAATTACCTCCCACGAGACAATGGTCTCAATCTGAGTATTTGGAGATCCAGAAGGAAATTAACCGCCTGTTATCAATTGGAGCAATAGTGCCCTGTGAGCCAATAGAGAATCAATTTGTCTCAGATTTTTTCCTAGTCCAAAAACCCGATGGCAGCTATCGACTTATTTTAAATCTTAAGAAATTAAACAAATATGTAAAGACGGAGCATTTTAAACTGGAGGATTTGAGAACTGCTTGTAGGTTATTAAAACCTGGGATGATTATGAGTACAATCGACTTAAAAGACGCTTATTTTCTCATCTCCGTTCATACAAAATTTAGAAGATTTCTACGTTTTATATTCAATAACCAGTTATTCGAGTTCACTTGCCTTCCGTTTGGCCTTAGTTCAAGTCCCATGGTTTTTACAAAAATTATGAAGCCAGTAATGAATTATCTAAGATCACGGGGTTTTCTATCGGTCGGTATTTATCTGGACGATATATTGTGTTTAGGTGAGATCGCAGTTGCCGAGTTAACATTAGGAATACGTTGGATCTCCTAGAATCCCTAGGTTTCATAATAAATACGAAGAAGTCGAACTTAGGTCCAAATGTGGAATGCAAGTATCTAGGATTTATCTTAAATTCGGAAAAAATGTTAGTAGAATTGCTTAAAGACAAAAGAGTTAGATTGTTCTCTCAAATATCCAAGTTTGAGTGTAAAAAAGTATGCTCAGTTCGAGAATTTGCCCAGTTTATTGGCTCATTGATAGCAAGTTGCCCAGAGGTTGAATATGGCATGATACATTCAAAATCTCTAGAGAAAGCAAAAATAGAAGCCTTAATAAGAAATGATACAAACTTCGACGGAAAAATGAAAATTTCAACATATATAAAAGAGGATCTAAAATGGTGGAAGGAAAATATAAATTATTCCACAAAAAGAATAAAGTTGTTCAATTTTAAAAGAGAAATTTTTTCAGATGCTAGCAAAACAGGTTGGGGAGCGTTCTGTAATGGTCAGAAGGCTCATGGTTTATGGAGTCTTGAAGAATCAGAATTACATATAAATCAATTAGAGCTAAAAGCTGCCCTATTGGCAATCAAATGTTTTGCTAATGATTTATCAGATTGCGAGATTGTTCTTAGAGTAGATAATACAACGGCATTGGCATATATTAACAGAATGGGCGGTGTCAGAATAGATCACCTACATGCAGATGCAAGGCAATTCTGGAATTGGTGCGAGAAGAGAAGAATATGGGTTTTAGCAGAATATATTGCTTCCAAAGAAAATACAGACGCGGACGCTTTATCGAGAATAATAAACAGAGACATAGAGTGGGAATTGTCAGATTATGCTTTCAATGAGATTGTGAGAGTCTTCAGAAGACCCGACATAGATCTATTTGCTTCAAGGATTAATAAAAAATGCGAAAGGTATTGCTTTTGGGAAAGAGACCCCGATGCGG